GTAGATATCCCATTCTTCAACCAGAAACCTACGTTCATAGAGCTCTGAATGGTAAAATCATAGGATACATCTAGTTCTGGTCTCTTTGGTCCATAGATACATATATAGAAGAAGAAGAAGAAGAAGAAGAATTCTGGTCTCTTTGGTCCATAGATAGATAGATAGATAGATAAATAGAAGTAGGGATGGCAAAAATATCCATAACCGTGGATATCCGCCCGAACCCGACTTAATCGGGTAGGGTAAAACTCGAACCCGAAGGATATTTAGTGGGTACGGGTAAAACCCGAACCCGAATATTGCGGGTAATGGATGGGCATGGGTTTCTCAGTATCCAACCCGAACCCGCCCGATTATACACATACATATGTATTTTGTCTAGAAATAGTCATTATTTTTCTCTAACATATTTTATATTTAGCATATAAATATAATATTTTCATGCAATTGTGTTGTTTTAATTAATTTTCTTCATTCTAGTGAATTATTGTCATACTTTTCCTCTTGCGTAATGTGAGAATACGTGTGAATGTTAATAAATTAGTTGGAGTTATGAAGAGAAATCATTACCCATGGATAACCGTGGATACCCGAAATCCTAACGGGTATGGGCATGGTTTTAATTTTCTACCCGTTTCATATGTGGGTATGGGTAAAACCCGAACTACTTTGGGTAGGGTAACGGATATGCACTATCCGTCCCCGACCCGACCCATTGCCATCCCTAGATAGAAGAAGAAGAAGAAATTGTAGCCCCCTTTTGCAACTTCTGATGCTTTGAATTCTAAGATAGATAGATAGAAGAAGAATAATAATTGTAGCCGCCTCTGATGCTTTAAATTCTAGGGGCTGTGCGCTTGAGAAGACGATAAGATGGGTTTTAGTTTGAGTTTTTGGTGTGAAAATAAAGAGAAGTTTGGCCAGCCTCTGGGAGATCTACGGAGGGAATTTCACCATCACTTTTCTAAAATTCAATGGAAGATTTGTATTGGTGGAACAACGGAAGGTGTATCGGCATAATAGAGCAGCAAATACAAAACATAGAGTTTAATGACTTAGCTAGCTGCAGGTAATTAAATATATGGAGTAGGGAGGTACACAGTAGGGTTGCTGTAGCAGAAAACCCCATTAAAAATTAAATAAAAACTCGTGAACAGTGGCCCGACAAAATCGTAATGAACAGTAATTATCATTAGATTACTTGCGGCTTAATGATATAATAATTAGTATTCTTTGGGACGAAGTTCCCAAAAATTAGTTTAAGGGTTTATTTGGTAACTAGGGATTGCCTCCTGTAATCCTGAGAATACATTATTTCTAATAGTTGATTGTATTTTCTTGTCTGAAGTAATACACAAACCATGTATTTCACTCAATCGAGTAAGGTTCATTATAATCCCTGCACACAAAAGTACAGTCTTTCTATCTCATCAAAAAACACATGATTTCTTAAAACCCATGTACTCTACAATGCATGGTAGTCCTGAGATTTTAATGAAATGTCTTGTGTTGTGACACAACAATTGTATTCAACGATCTAGAGAAACTAATTATGAACAACTCAAGACAATCGAGTAACCCGCACGAGAGAGGAGCTGGAGAAATCAACCCTATCTAAGTCCAGGGTTGGTCTTTTGTACAACAACACTAGATTACCTTCGGTTCCTCTGTTACTACGGATTGTCCAACAAAGACATAAGTTCTTTGTCTCCACGCACCAACTTCACTTGCCCATCAAACTTTACAAACAATGACCACAGCAGGCTCGACGCCGCAGCGATCGAGGTGCCGCTGCCACCCAGACCATCACCAGAACAACGACCAATGTTGGACATGTCAACTCCACCTACCTTGCCACGATCCATGCTCCTAGTGGGTTGGGAGTCCGAAATTGGTTTTTACCTAACAGGTAGGGAGGTTAACTTTCAGAGTTGTATTTAATGGAACAGAAGCTCTTCATGGTAATAATTATGGGTCCTTGACCTGGCGTGATGCTTCCTCAAGTTTCTTGTTGTTGAAAAGAGTATTATTGCGCTCCGCCCATATCTTACACATCTCCGTAGTTAGTTTCTCTAGGGAACCATCCCCTTCATTTTCCATAATTTCACAGAACCACGATTTGCGTTAAGATTGATGCACAAGACTTTGAGTATGATGTGCCCATAAAATTGATTTCGACGTTTCTCTTATCGTTGATGCAATGGAAATGGAGATGAATGCTTTTATCTTTGAAGATTGAGTTATTTATTGTTTATTTGAAATTCTAAGTTGAACATTTGAATATTGATGTTATATGGGAATGAGTTAGGGTGATTACTCAAAATTGAGTAATCACGGTGACTACTAAAATAATCTATACCTTTAATTATCTCTATTTCACCCTAATTTTAAATTGACGGTGTAGATTAGATTAAGGGTAATTTTGAGGATAAAAAAAATACAACACCTGATTTCTATATTTTAAAGATTTAATTTCTATATATTATATCTAAACCCTACTATAACTCCATTCTCCATTGCCGTTAATACCTCCCGTATTGGTTGTTCCCTTTCTCCGTTCGCAGGCAACCTCAGCCACCGTCCAACTGTCGGCGGGCAGCCCTCTTGCTACCCCGCTGGTCTCTCTCTCTCTCTCTCTCTCTCTCTCTCTCTCTCTCTCTCTCTCTCTCTCTCTCTCTCTCTCTCTCTCTCTCTCTCTCTCTCTGAGGCGGCCATGGTGGAGCTCTCTGGGTGACGGTCATGGTGGAGGGGTGAGATGGTTATGGACGGCAATTTCCTTCCCTCCCTATCTCTATCCACTGTAGATATATATAAAACCTAGATCTTTTTTTTTTTTTGGTTTGGTAGTGGTTGGTTGTTTGTTTGATGAAACAGTATAGTATTGTTTTTTTTTTGTCGCATTGTTATTGTTTTTGTCGCATTGGTATTGATTTTTTCCCATTGGTATTGATTAAATCTGCAATGGTATTGATGTTTTGTGAAATGGTAGTGTTTCTATTTCTCGAATGATATTAGTGTTTTATGCAGTGGTAGTATTTTTTTAATGGATTGGTATTGATTTATTGTATTGTTGTTGCAGCAATATTAGTTTGGCGGAATGAAATCAAGAAAAGATTGAGAAGAAAAAGGAAGAGAGATCTGACTGAAAATTGTGGAAGTGAGAGAAAGAAAAAGAAAAAATTGTATTAATATATTTATGTAATTTTTTTTAAATATAATTTATCAAAAAGATAATTAATAAATTTTTGTTATACCCAGTTTGCCCTTAATAACCACGGCGATTACTATAAAATAGTAATCACCGTAATCTGTCCCTATTATATGATGTATTTAAGTATGCTTGAATTTTTACTATATGGTGAATTTATGTATGAACTACGATCTAATGTATTATATGTTATTACCTCTATAGTAAATGAAATTTGGTATAATATATGTACAATGTAATGAATTTTTTTATATGTTCGGATTAAACCGACTACATCAAACTAAACCATTCAAACCATTAATTTTTAACTTACTTGCTCAGCCCGGTCAACAACCCAAGCCTGTTAGACAACCTTGATTTATAGACACATGGAGCTAGGTATGGCAACAAAATCCGAACCCACGGGTACCCAATCCAACCCAACCGGGTCAACGCGGGTAAAATTCGTGTTGACGGGTTTTGGGTTGAGTTCGAGTTTGAACTCGTTCACTATTCAACAGACTGAGTTGGGTTTGGGTTTAGGTATACCCGCCCCATCGATACTCGCCCATACCCATATAATTAATTTTACCGGTATATTTAATATTCTAAGCAACTAATATTCTTTATGTTTGTGGAGACATATCTAATTTTTTCTTTCTAATTGTGTAGAATGAGGTTGATATTCTAAGCAACTAATATTCTTTATGTTTGTGGACTTCAAGTAGTAAAAACATCTCAACAAACAAATGATTGTTACAAATCCATGATGCCACAAATCCTTGATAAATCCTTGGGTTTTTAAATTACAAAACTCTCATTTTTAAATCCATGAAGCAAACGACCCCTTAATTTACAGGGAGGAAGACGCTTTCAATTAATCATGTTGTTTATGTGTAGTTAATTTGTGATTTGTTTGAATTTTATAAAATGGTGTTTTATATATGGATAATATGTATTGAGAGATTGATATTTGAATTTTATTTTGATAGGAACTTGTTATTGTAAATTTCTTACGACAAAAACCCATGGATACCCATGAACCCGCAGATATCCAGCGGGTTGGGTTTGAGTGTTTCAAACTCAATAGATTTTACCCGAGATTTTTTTTTACGGATAAACTCATGAATTTGAATTTGGGTTTGGCAAAATCCGACCTAACCCGACCTAGGGCTGAAAATTTACCTGTCCCGTCCCTGTCCCTGTATGACCCGTCCCTGAAGGGTCAAGATGTATAACCGTCCCGTCCCGTCCCTGTCTCCTTCTTGACCCTGTCTGACCCTCAAGGATTGGGACGGGACGGGACGGGCCGGGTCAGTGGGTCGACCCTAATCAACACACTACTTTTTTACAAATTACGTTTTGGTACCCAAAATTATTTTTTCTTACAATTTAGTACCTAAATTTTATTTTTTTTACAAATAAGTCCATAAATTTTGATGGTAAAATTACGTTTTGGTACCCAAAATTTTTTATTTTTACAAATTAGTACATAAACTTTTAAAACTTTACAAAAAGGTCCAATGAAGTATGAGATATTTGTTGTTGCTAAGGGTCACAGGGTCAAAACGTGACCTGTCCCTAAGTTGTCCCGACCCGTCCCGACCCTTGCAGGGTCAACAAATGACCCGTCCCTAATCTGTCCCTGTAGACAAACTGACCCGTCCCGACGGGACGGGTCAGTGGATCTTCCGGGACAAGGTTTCACCCCTAACCCGACCTATTGTCATCCTACATAGAGCTATGTTTGAATAACAAACCTCTCTATCTTTTTTCCACTTGCCAGTTGCCGGTCTATATTTCTAAGACAAACGAAACGGAAAACAACTACTGTAAAAATTGAAAAACTCTTCTCTCCTTCATCATTTCTCGCCTCCTCCCACTGGTTCGCTCTGCTCTTCCTGCATGCCCTTTCATATCCACGAAAGAGGTAAATCCGATCTCAACTCTCTTCATTTCTCCGACTTTTGATTAACTTATGTTGTGGAGGTATCTGGAACCACCCGTCTGGGCTCCCCGGGTGAAGATCTTGCATAAAGTTGATTTATTTTCTTCCATTTCTGGGGTTCTCTGGGTTTGAAATGAAAATTCTTTGCTTGTTGCAGGAAGGGTTTGTGGGAAAAAGGAAGAATTGCTTGTCGCCCGTGAATAATTTGTGAAAAAGCCGAGGCGGCTTATCTCGGTTTCTTGTTTCGATCTGTGAATTTGGGGTTGTTCAGCGGGCGGTTTTCTTAATTGGATTTTGTTTGGTATTAGCAATGGAAGGAGGGTCAGGGGCCTTCAGTTATACTCCCGCTTCAGGTTCCATTGACAAATCAAGGGTTTTAGATGTGAAACCCCTTCGTACTTTGACCCCCGTGTTTCCATCCAATCCTCAAGGTCCTCCATTTGCATGTTCACCTCCTTTTGGTCCTTACCCACCCGGGTTTGCTCCATTTTACCCCTTCTCTCCACAACAAGGAGGCGGCCCTGAGCCCAATCAGGCACCCCAAACTCCAGCTGTGCCACTTCGTTCATTCCGAGCTCCTCAACCAAGCTCCCATGAGAATGGAACAGGTGGTGCTTCTCCCTCTGGTCCTCCTAAGCGCGCTGGCCGTCGACCTGCCGTCCGGACCACACCTACTCCCAAAAGGGTCAAGAAGGGACCAGATGACTTTTTGCTGCCTGTTCCTAATGATAGTGTTGTTTTGGGGATCACTGAGGCTCAAAAGGAAGACGGCGATAGAAGTACTGTTCTTAGTGTTCTGATGAGGTTTGAAGCTCTAAGGAGAAAGGTTAGCCAACTAGAGGATGTGAAGGACGCGCAGCATAATGGAAAAAGCAAGAGTGCTCATTTAAAAGCTAGCGCCATCCTAATGACCAACAACATAAGGACCAACTCTAAGAAGAGAACTGGACATGTCCCTGGAGTGGAGATTGGTGACATCTTCTTCTTCCGGATGGAGATGTGTTTGGTTGGATTGCATGGTCAGCCTATGGCTGGCATAGATTATATGATTGTAAGGAGTGATAGAGAGGATGAGCCTCTAGCTACGAGCATCGTTTCATCTGGTAACTATGATAATGCTGCAGATGATACGGATGTCCTTATCTATAGTGGTCATGGTGGAAGCTCCAACAAGAATAAGGAAGCATCCGATCAGAAGCTGGTGAGGGGTAATCTTGCATTGGAGAGGAGTCTACAGAAGGGGAATGAAGTCCGGGTCATTCGGGGCCTGAAAGATGCCAATGGTCCAGCAACAAAGGTTTATATATATGATGGACTTTATACAATTCAGGAATCATGGGTGGAGAAGGCGAAAACGGGTTGCAATATATTCAAGTATAAGATTGTTAGGATGTCTGGTCAACCTAGTGCCTTTTCTATCTGGAAATCTGTGGCGGAGTGGAAAGAGTCAGTTTCTTCGAGAGTGGGACTGATTTTGCCCGACCTCACCTCAGCAGCTGAAACTATACCGGTTTCGCTTGTGAATGATGTTGATGGAGAAAGAGGGCCTACTTGCTTCACGTATCTCGCTTCTGTTAGATATTCCAAGTCATTTAAATTATCTGATCAGCCTTCTTTTGGCTGCAACTGCCGTAATGCATGCCAATCAAGTGATGATAACTGCGCTTGCATGAGAAAAAATGGGGGGCATTCCCCATATATTGGCAATGGAGTTCTCGTGTCTAGGAAGCCCTTAGTTTATGAATGTGGTCCTACATGTCCTTGCATAGCGAACTGCAAGAACCGTGTGTCTCAGACTGGTCTGAAAGTTCACTTGGAAGTTTTCAAAACAAAGGATAGGGGTTGGGGACTAAGGTCATGGGATCCTATTCGTGCTGGCACTTTTATATGTGTTTATGCGGGTGAAGCAACAAACAAGGCTATTAATGGAGAAGGAGAGTATAGTGATGATTATGTCTTTGATACAACCCGGGTTTATGATTCGTTCAGGTGGAATTGTGAACCTGGGTTCGTAGAGGAGGATCTTAATGACACTAATGAGGAATATGATATCCCATACCCTCTTGTCATAAGTGCAAAAAATGTTGGAAATGTGGCCCGGTTCATGAATCACAGTTGTGAGCCAAACACATTCTGGCAACCTGTTGTGTATGAGAATAATGGTGAAACCTATCTGAATGTTGCTTTCTTTGCAATGAGACATATTTCACCTATGACAGAGTTGACATATGATTATGGGACGCCCCACGCCGATGTTCCTGGGGGTAACAATGGACAGGGTAGGAAGAAATGCTTATGTGGATCTACCAGATGCAAAGGCTATTTTTTCTGATCATATGTATTTTGATCAGAAACCCATTGTGTTGGTAGTCCTTCCGATAATAAGGTTAGTTACATCTTTTCCTAAGTCCATTTTCATCCTTCATTTGTTGATGCTTGAAGACAATACTCTGCTTGATGTTTGTCATCTTGAGGCTGATGCCACAGACAACAACTTGCATGGTTAGGTTTCGTAATGCGTGTTTTGTGTTTGATTAACAACTTGCATATGTTTTGATAGTTATCTGATAGAGGACGGTGGTTATAGATTTTACTATTTGGTTCAAGTGCATTGCTTATCTGTTGGAATAAGTCAGGAATGGTTGCATATGCAATTTAGTCGAGTAAAAACTTCCTATATCCGTAGGGTACCTGACAGTACACAAGATAGTCTTCCTAACTTGAAAATTCAATGATTTTGTGCGTTGAAGAAAATTCAGTCTTCACAAACACTCATGCTTCAGTTTTCAATGTCTTAGTGATCAGCCCTTGTCCCTAGAGAATGTTCCGAGTTTCGTTGGTGCTGTGATCTCATTATGCATGCTTTTTTTATTTTTAACATTAGTTCTCAGTTAATTTCTGGTCTTCCTCTTCTTTTGCAATGCAGGATAACTTACTCAGGATGCGATATCTCTTAGGGTGATTTGACTGCTGCAGTCTATTATCAGTGAACCAACGAGCGATGCGGAATTGATCCATTACGCCATGACTACCTATGGGCTATGGTAGGAGCATTTTGTTGTCTTCGGTTCTAGTAAATCCCGTCTCTTACCTCAAAGAAGAGGTGTGTTTGCTTGTAACATATGCTTAGGATCCAAGTCAGGAGGGAAGTTTGTGATGTTTAACCTTGAAGGTGAAGGACCAACTTGGGAGGAACTTGTGGAGCAAGGAACTGTACTATTTGTGTAAAACTGCATCGATTTTTTCCTCCCCTTGAACGTAGTGATAAGTGAAGTTACTAGGGTCTGCTGTGAGTAGACCATGGGATGTAAAACCATCTTATTTTAGGTTAACCCTCTTTTTCCATATCACGTTTAGACCCAGCGGTCGAGAATTCGGCATTCCGGGCTTTGGTGCATAGTAAAATATGCTAACACAGCTTGAATTCCACTCCACACACATCAATCACACATAAACATAGGACGATACTCCGTCTTCGTCCAAAGACCACGCGATTAGCATTAACATGAGACGTGGGCTGTACTCCAGCTGGTGAAGCTCTGTCCAACATTAGTTATCAAGGATTAATTTTTTCGGTTCTACTGTAAATGTGTACGTTCTCTTTTAGTGGTGCAGCTCTACCCAACATTAGTTACCAAGGATTAGGTTTTTCGGTTCTACTATAAATGTGTGCGCTGTCTTTTAGTTTGTTAAGTGAATTAGAATCCAGTTTAGTATTTTTGTATGATTTTTAGAAGTATAATTAATGTAGATTATCATTTTCTCGATGCATCAACTAGTGAAGTTACGGAAAGCCCAATTTGCAGACTCGACAGTGGTGAATTGGGCAGACAACAAGTAGTAGCTGGCAACGCCTAAGCAAACATGTCATAGACAAGGCACACCACCCGGTCGCCACCGTCCGCCTCTACTTTTGAAACTATCCCGGTAGTTTCTTCTTCACCTGTCGGAATATGTTAGGAGAGGACCCTCAGCTATATTGAGCCGAGTTGACCTCAATGACGATGGCCACTGTTAGACTTACATTGAGGCCTTCACGACGAGGAGCTTGGAGGATTGAAGGGCCGAGTTTAGGACACCCTTTGCTGGCACTGACGACACTAGGACATGTGGGTTTCTTGCTCTAGTGCCTTGTTCCAGCTCCAGCTTCATCTGAAGTGCTTTTTCGGAAACGAAAGTTGTTGGATCGATTAATTTATTCAAACCAAGAGAAGTTCACTTGTAGCTCTAGTCTTAAGACTAACAAGGACCAAGGAACTTGGGATAAAATGCTGCAAACAACTTGTATTGAAGTCAAGAAAGGAGGCTATTAGTGAGCCTCATTTGGAAGGGGCGTTGTTGTCGGATTTCGAGGAGCAGCTAAAGGATTAGATGGCAATTGTGTCCCAGTTCAGGGAGGAGCTGCTTCTCTACACTGAGCAGTATAGCTTTTAGACACGAGTTGAATATTTTTTTATCTATGTTTAGTTGCTTAATTTGAGTGTACACTTGGATGTAGTAACTTGTTGACAACCGTCTGGGTTTGTTGATGAGGCTCCTTCAAGCAACACTCACTGCATCGACATAAATAAGCGGATACTATCATCTTCATACAGTAAGTTATGCAGGATCTGATTACTTAAACCGTAAACTAAGATAAACCCCCTCTGAACTACATTTTTATGTCATTCGAAAACAATCAGCCTTCTCTCTTCATTTTGCCACATCGACCCGACCCGACCCGCATATTAGCCAAACTGACCGACAAGAGAGCCCTTTTTGCCATCAAAGAAAATCAATCCATCCACAGTTGTTCGTCCCCCCCCCCCCCCCCCCCCCCCCCCCCCCCCCCCAACCGAGAAAACAGAAATTCATAAAACGGAGCCTACATCTTGGCAATGTTCATATTTGGTGGCACGACGGTATGGGATCGGAGAACCATCTCGAGTTAACTGCACTGCAGGCTGGTTTTTCTCCAAAGAAAATCAAGCTTTGGCTTCCTCCGGAGCAGATTTACTGGTTCCTTCTTCCTCCTTGGCTTCTGGTTTCTTGACTTCATCTTCTTCATCATCATCGTCATCGTCATCTGCTCTCATAATAACAACAAAATCAGGGCATGCGATGAGAACCCACAAAACCCAGATGGACCGAAATGGGACACGAAGCAAACATACGGACATTGCTACCGAAAAGTGAGTAGAGGGGGGAAAAACCACAGAATTGAAAGGTCATGAAGATAGGATTTTTACCTTCTGGCATGTTGAAATCTCCCATATCCGGCATCCCACCCATGCCTGGCATTCCTCCCATGCCCGGCATTCCTCCCCTGCCACCCATGCCCGGCATGCCTCCTCCCATGCCAAATTTCTGCAAGCAACCAAAATATTGCAATCAACAAGAATAAGGGACCCTGCTCAAAGGCTGTGTCAATGGTTTGAATATCACAGACGCAGGTTAAACTTAGATGACCGAAAAGAAGGACTCCATTTGTACCCAATATACCAATAGGATTTTTCTCCCATATGATCTACAACTTAATTCCTGAAGATGCTACCCTGACCTAAAACCAATCAGTAATTAAAACCCCCCTGGCTTAAAAAGTTGCAATCCAGAATCCCACCGACTTGAGTGCAGTAACTGGCAGGACCATGTAGCAACAAAAGCGTTCGACTCAGAAATATGGAACTTAGACATGTATTACACGGTTGCATAACCTTCAAACTTACCGAGAAATCCATGTCATCAAAGTTCATGCCACCAGGAGCACCACCTCCTACATCTGATCTCATAAGAGCAGGGATACATCAGTAAAATGAGATACGACAAAATAAAATTCATGGATGGCTAAAGATCAAGGTACCAATTTGGTTTACCATTTTCCTCATCTTCGTCGACCCATTTATCCCAGTCAACTTTCAGGAATGCAGGAGTCTTTCCTTCTTGCTTAATAAGCCTAGGCCACCAGTTACTCTCAGCTTTGACTATGATATATGCGATGTTTCTCGGGCCAACGACATATTTGCTCTCCTGTTAAAAGATACCAAGTTAGTACCCTGTTGTCTATTAGAAAGCTTAACATATTAGCAGTCACCCTAGGTACAAGTACCTCAACATTGACTTTGTCGAACAGTTCAAGATCTACGACATAGTCGGACCCATCTTTAACGGCTGATAATATAAACTTTCCCTCAGGTTCAAGCTCGAGTTTGACATCTTTAGCATCTGCTAAGTCCACAGTGAGATATACTTTATCGCTTCTTTGTGCCCATTTCAAAATTGGGTGCCGGCTGCAACAGTTAAAATTTATAAGAGAAGTTAACACAATACTATAACTATCCATTGTTGTAAAGTTGTTCATGCTATAACAACATGATGCAAGTATGCATAATAATAGAGAATTGTACCTAAACGTTTGTGAAGGCAAACTTTGGGAGACAGTTAAAATTTATCATTGATTGCTAAGCTTATCCACACAAAATAACTGAAAGAAGATACCATAAACATCTACTTCATTGATTCTATCTGTATTTTCTTCTGGTGAAAATTCTATCTGTATTTTAGTTAAGCAGTAACTGCTATTTTCATGCGAGTGAAGAGTTGAATAGTGAACAAAGCAATCTCACAAAGGACTGGACTTCACGGCATCTAAGTGCAGGTTAACATGCCAGACAATTGGAGAATCATCAGAAAAATGGACAACTAATCACCGATTTCTAATATCTTTTTTTTTTTATAAGGGTGATATAGGTTTCATTTTGTTGTCATTAAGGTACTACTTAAGGGATTCGAACCTAAGACTTCCAGATTCTAGGCTACTACCACTAAGCCAAACCCTTGTTCGTCATATCTCGAAGTTAATACCTTAAAGAGGTTCCAGATTCTTCTGCTTGATCAAAATTACTTCTGTAGTAAGGGCGGGGTGGGGGCATCCTCTACGATATTTGTTCACACTCGACAGACATACAACTGACTAGACTTCAACCCGACTCCTTAAATCCAGTCATGAACCCTAATCAGCTAGTCCTAAAATAGTAACCCCGAAAGCCTGATCTGCAGCAACAATTAAAGTTCTCTGCGACAAATCCAACGCAACCCGCCTACCCTACCGAAACCTGGATCCTCCGCTCCAAATACTCAAACCCGAAAACAATAGACCCCAAATGAGCCAATAACAATAATCTACAATGTTTAACTACTGAAACACCAACCTAGTAATCTTTTTGAGTAGCGATACAGTCATGCTGATATCCCACCAACAGAACTGCTCACGCAAAACTTAACAAGGGAAACCCTAAAACCCTTAGATTGACTATCTAAACGCAGAATTCCCATAAACCCCTCGATCTAACCAGCTTAAATTATCAAACTTTCGAGACGTGTCTTCATATATAGAATATATACAAGCAGCTCCCCGATACATTACAGGATTACAGATACACACACAGTTGGAAGCGATCAACACTAGCGATTAAAACAGAGAATGGTTGCCACAATAGAGCAAACGTAGGAAGCTATTACCTCATCCTGAGAATGATAAGACTGAAGGTTGCAGTTGGAATAGAGAGAAATAGCGGGCGAAAGGAAAGCTTGGAGTGTGGATGTGGGATCTGACGGCGGTTCTGTGCGGTAGCGGCAGGTCTTTCCTCTTTGCTTTATACTCTGCAGAAAAGACACCAAACACTGGGGTTGTGGATTGAAGATGTGTGCGAAGGGCAGGGAACTCGAGGCCGACCTGGAACATTCGGGAGAGAAAAACTCCCTGCTTTGCTTGGGACGCTGCGTTTCGGCTTCTTGTTACATCAAACCAAGAATTGAAATAGGTCATATAGGAAAACTAAGCGGTAAGGTATGTTATACTAAAACCGTGGTTTACTCATTGTTCAATCGTATTATACCGCTAAATACCGCCTACCAGTTTTGCTTCTGGTAAGAGGTTTTTCAGGTCAAACCATCGGTACGGTATTTTAATCCTTGCATCAAATCAATGTTGTAAAATCGGTTTAGACCGTTACACCGGTTCCGCGCCTGGTATGGTCCAATTAGGGTATAATCTGTTTATGTACCGATTTATATAGGAATCAACATAACATACGAAGAAAGTGATAAGCCATTAACACCATATTTAAATAAATTATCATATTATAAACAAAATTAATCATTTTGATCGGACCATTGGATATTGTCCATTTTATCCCTAAAACTTTTATAGTCACCAACACCAATTCCAACCAAAACCCTCACCCCAATCCACCACCACGTGTTTCGTTGTGGAAACACGTGTGTTTAATACGCTTGTTCTCAAGAAAAGCAACAAACATATAAAAAAACCAAATGATAGTTACTCGGTTCACACCTTTCAAAACAATGTTCGAACGAGAGTGTTACACGAACAACAGGGATCTAAATTATGTTACCTCTAGTCCTATGGAGGTTCATCTAGAGAGTTCCTGGACTACACTACGATCTACTGTCACTCTAGAAAGGAGATTTTTGACAGAGAAGTTCTACGAACAAAAGGAAAAAGATAAGTTGCGACATACTATTTGATATTTGATTTTGCTATAACGAGCCCCTTGTTCTTTCAGATGTTTATACAAAATCCTATTTTCGTAGTTCCAACAATCTCTTCGTCTTCTAAACCCTCGTAATATGATCCAAAGTGCATCCATTTCATATCATTAGAGTCATAAGACCTTGAATTTGTGTTATGAATGCTTCAAGTGTGTTTTAGCAACCCCTAGGATTGCATTTGCGGATTTGATGTGCTTTTGGTAGCGCTTTGTGCAATTTCAAGTTAAAGTAGGCTAGTGGACCACTTGGCAGTCGAAGGAGACATCGAGATCCAGTTGATGGAGCCCAGGTTCGACGAGTACACGAGCTTAAAGAAATGGCACCAAGAACACCTACCCATGAAGGAAAATAGAGTTGTGCCACCGTTTTACGGAGCTGCTCTCCTTCGTCAGAAAGATGCCTAAGAGCTTCTTTATTCGCTGGCCACATGTTTGGAGGTTTATGATTGGCTGGATGACGTAGGAGCTATGAATTTTGCTTCCCAGAAAACCCTATTTGAACACCTATAAATCGAGCTCTAAAGGTAGAACTTGGGAAGGAGGAGACGAGAGGTTAATGAAAGGCCGTTACTTTGCCGACAAATCAACCCACCTGACTTAGAGCGAAACCAACCTCAAGGGAGGAATCGACGCCATAAAGGGTGGCCTGGACCTGTTTTCTCTGTTATGTACGCTGATTCTAGTGGTGTTCAGGGACTTTGTTTCGATCGATGATCTCCTAGAAACCCTTCCCCAAGTTGGCTAGTTCGTATAATTGCATAGGTATGTGAACCCTAGGGGATTCTAGTCATGTAAAACTCAATTTTTGGCTTAATACGATGGTTTTATTTCATATGTGTTGATGCTTGATTTTCTCTATTTGCTTATTTGTCGATTCGAATGATTGCTTAGTCGACCTTGAACTCCTTCGAGGTGCAAGGATCAAAATCCCAGTCGTGCAGGATTAAGACTTGAAATGGCAGTCCTACACGATCAATCTTCATTCGATCGAATGGTGTGATGCCTCAAGGGAATCCGTAGGGTCCTTGTGGCCCATTAGTTCGGGCAAATGCTTCGACACAAGGTGTGATCTAACGGAATAAGAAATCAACAACTCATATATTGTTAGATATCGAGGGATACGTGACTAAGAGGCCTAGGGAGAGCTTGCCTATGCAACACCTTCCTTCTCTCCTCTCTCGTCCATCCAATTACCTTTAGATTTACTTTCCTGCACTTAGTTTAGTTTTTACTTTTGTTTTAAAAAAATTATAGGTGTCAAAACAGAACCCAACCCGACTAACACGACCCGCAACCCCAATGGACTAAAAGTCAATGACCCGCAAACCCACTCGACCCGCAACCCGAATGTTATATATTATATAAATTTTAGGAAAGAAAGTTTGTTTGTTGTAAGACTAAGAAACTGTTTTTTCATTTTATTAAGGAAAGTTCAAAAAATGATATTGAGTTGAAATTATTTATTTTTAATAAAAGAAATAAGAGAAAGAAATAAGAGTGAGTTTTGATGCTTTGGTTTATAGGAGAAGAAAGAAGTGAGAAATTTTGTTGTTTTCAACTTTTTGGGGGAAAAAGAAGAGGGAAAATTGATGCTTAATTTTTGTGAAAAGAAAGAATGGAGAGTTTTGGTGTTTTGATTTATAGGAAGAGAAAGAAGTGTGAAATATTGGTGTTTTCAACTTTTTTGAGAAAAAAGAAGAGAGAAATTTGGTGTTTCAAGTTTTGGGAAAAACAAGAAGAGAGAATTTGGGTGTTTTGGTTTATAGGAAGAGAAAGAAATGAGAAATTTTGATGTTTTCGACTTTTTGAGGAAAAAAGAAGAGGGAAATTTGGTGCTTCAAGTTTTAGTGATTTTGATATATAGGAAAAGAAAAGGGTGGGAAATTTTGATGTTTTTGATTTATGAAAAGAAAAATTAGAGAATTTTTTTGTATTTTCATTTGGGTTATTGGTATAATATGCCCCTCTACTATGATGTTTTATCAAACATGTCCCTCTACTTTTTTTTACATCAAACATGCCCCTGTACTTCGAAAAATTATCAAACATGCCCTTCTGTTAAAATTTCCATTGAAAAAATTGTCAATCATGGTTGAACCGAGATTTAAACGACCCGACATCGGCAAATGAGAGCGAAAATGTCAGCTTTGTCTCCCGTTTTATTTCTCTTGGTCTCTTCAAAGTGAAATTATTTGGCTAGAACCTTGGTTAACAGTTTTTAGATGAAAATTTATACAAAAGGGCATGTTTGATCATTTTTACAAAGTACAGGGCATGTTTGATGTAAAAAATAGTAAAAGGGCATGTTTGATAAACCGTCATAGTAGAGGGGCATATTATACCTATAACCCTTTTCATTTTTTTAAGAGAAAGAAGAGAGAAAACTTATTACAATGTTTACATATGATGGTTAAAAATTATTAAAAATATTTTAAATTGGTGTAATAAAATGTGTAAGTTGGTAGCGAGTAAGGAGTAAGTAACTCGATGAGTTGTCCCGAACAACCCGCAACCTGCCCGACCCGAAATCCAATGAACTCGCAACCCGATTTGCCCGCAACCCGATTGAACCCGAACCCGATTGAACCCAAACCCGATTGAACCCGAACCGATAAACCTGCAACCCGACGAACCAGAAACTCGACTAACCCGCACCTCGATTGAATCCGATCCGAATCCGCCCGATTGTCACCTATAAAAAGAACCGGAACACTTCAACATCGTACATTGTTTCAAATCAACTAGAACAATACCTCACCACTAAAGTAAGGGTTCTGCGAGAGGCCCTAGGGAAATACGTTCATAGTCTTATGGCTAGGAAAATTTGGTCTACTTACACGTAACATGATGAATCAAATTTTGGCACTATTGTAGGGGAAATGTCGCAAAACTTCAAAAAGGACCAGGTACGAGTTCTATTCTCTCCTTCTAATATTGTTTTTATTTTTCATGTCGAGTCGAGCCATTTGATCACATCTTGTCCTGCCTTGCAACTATACATCTTCTCACATAGATCTACACCTATGGGTATTGATATGCTAGGAGAGTACGAGCCCAGAATCATGGATAGTTGGACTGTTTTCAACTCTCAAGTTTGATGTACCCAAAGCTAGGGATGGGCAATGGGCGGGTCAAACACTAGACCCACCCAAACCCATCCGATTATAACCCACCCATTACATGTTTGGGTGAATATGGTGGGTGGGTGTGGGTCATCGTTTTTGCAACCCACTAAACTTGGGTGGGTGGCGGGTGAGTAGTGGGTGGGTAACGGATGGATCATTTCTTGCAAAATGACATTATATATTAAGTGGTTAATGCATATTCTGTAATAAAACACTATTTTTTCTTATACCAAAACTTCAATCGTGATGGATTCAATTAAATTTCAATTATCTTGTATAAATTTTACTTGATTTACAACATAAAAATCGATCATTTTAAAATATGATAATTATCAACAAAATATTTTGTGTTCGCGTATGAAATAATTGGTGTTAGATTATCCAGTAAAGTATGTTTAAATGCTCTCAATTTTCTTGATTCGTAGTATTGATATTCAATTAGTTTAGGCAAAATACACTTCCATAGCCATAACTTTCACGTTTTTGACAAATATAACCATAACTATTCGAAAACACAAAATAGTTACTTCCATCCATCTCTTTAACGGTGTTACTTCACAATCTGACTGTACAAACGAAAATGCTGAGTTGGAAATTTCTCGTCAGACACGTGGATTAAAAAAAAAGCAATTTTTTTTATTTAGTAAAATATAAAAGAAGAAAACCCTTAAAATCCTAGCCGCACAAACCTTATCTCCCTCATTCTTTCTGGAAAACCAACGAAAAAGAAGAGAAGAATACGGATGAAAACCAGTCGATCTGGCTGTCTCTCTCGATCTTCTGATCCTTCCCTTTCTTGATCGACCCCTGTTCTTCCCCAATTAGTGATGGACAACGGGGGATGGGTCTCCAACCACCTCTTAGCATTACCCGCCAGAGAATGGGGGAAGAGGTGAAGGCGGATTGCGTCATCAGGGACACCGTTTAGCTTGAACCCGTGCGTCAGCTGCAGAAAACGGGAAAGATGCACCCTCGCTTTCTCATCCTTCAAGCCATGGAACTGGATAGAGGATGTAATGAGTTGAATCCAGCATGGCTTGATCTCAAAGTTGTTCGCTGGAATGGGCGGATAGAGGATGACAGGGCGGATGTCAGCAATCCGTGGAGTGTAGTAGTACTCCAAGGTGGGACCCGGCGGCGGTGGATGATGATGAACCCCATCGGCCTGGGGTATGGGGTTGTTCCCCAAGATCTGATTCGCCGGGGGAACCTGGTGAGGATTCCCCTGGTGTGGATTGTGATCTCCTTCCATCTCGTACTCGTCATCGGACTCGCTGCTCAAATGACCGTCTATGCGCTCCTCCGTAGGCAGTCTAGCTCGCTGTTGTCTCCTGAGTTGGCGACAGGTGCATTCAAGCTCCGGATTCAACGACAGTAAACCTCCCGACTGGCTACGGGTCATGCACTACCTGCACACAGTCAAGCAAGCAAACCCGTGAAGGCACAAGTGTGACAAGCAAACAATGCGAAAAGAAAAGCTAAATTAACATAATTCACGTTTCTTCAACAACCTAGCCGTCCCCGGCAACGGCGCTAAAAACATGACTCACTCCTACTGTCACTCTAGAAAATGGCCAAGTGTAACCACTTCATAAAGCGTAGTATAGTGGGTTTGGGTTTTAATGTCAACCCGGGTCCTAGATGTGATGACTACTCAGCGAATTCTTATTATCTAGCGGTGAAACTTTAGTGCAGGTTCAAACAAGCAAAGCAATTAAACGGTTGTTTTTCAAGTCGAGAGAGGTCACCTGGATATGCTTCCCCCTAGACTGCAGTTAAGCCGGATTGTAATTTACCAAGTTCATTTTTAATGATAGTTATACTGCGGGAGGTTCTTAAACAGTCTGAAGTCTCGACTAAAGGTCTCCAGAGCCTCTCAATCTGAGTCCCCAGCTGGCGACTAACCTCCACCGGAGTAAACAGATTGGGGCCCTAACGAACCAAACCTCCACTACCGAAGTAAATTCGGTACAAAATAGTGAATTGGCTCCTCGACTAAAGTCGCCAATTCACTACCTTCAATTAAGGGTGCTCTATCAACCTAGGCAGATATTGTCTTTCTAGGTTAAAGCAGAAACAAACAGGAATTTGATCAGGATTCATGCCATTCAATCATTCAAACCACAATAGAATATAATCAAATCATAGAATCTGTACTTGGGTTCATACAATCAGACCTAACATACAAATCTAGGGTTCTCCATACCCAGATGAATAAGAAAACTACTCCGTAGAGAGAGATGGAAAATCTAGCTCAGATGCAGAAACCATACTGTGAAGGATGATAATCTGCTTCTGGCGCTCAATCGGATCTTCTCCAAGCTCAAGCCGGGCTCCAATGGTGATGAAGATCAAGCTAGGGCACTTGGGAACTCTGGTTCGTCACTTTCTCTCTCTAAGAATCGCTCTGTCTCTCTAAAACTCGGAACCCCTTCTTCTTTGGCTCAAATCTGCCTAAAAAGGCCGACCCTGGGCAAAACACGGTCGAGGGCACGACCGTGCTTTGCTCTTGCCCGCCCGTGCCCTTGCCATGTGTTAAAAACACGCCCGCGTTTTGGTGAAAACACGGTCGTGCCTTAAGTTGGACACGGCCGTGCTTCTAGTCACTCCCGCCCGTTTTTTGGGCCAGCGCAGGACAAACTTGGATCAAGCCTCGGCAGTAAAAACACGGTCCAGGAACACGGCCGTGCTTTGATTTAGACGAGCTCGTGCTTTGGCTCCAGCTCGACCGAATGACTTCCAAATGCCCCGAAACTCATGCTTAGCTTTTCCTTCGACGTCTGAGACCTGAAATATGACAAAATAGCACAACCCGGCGTAAAATAGTAAAAAATACACGACTACGCACCGCAAACGGATAAGAACTAGGGGTGCAAACATGTGCAATTACATCGTTATCAACATTCATGGTCGCCGGTTTGAGTCTTGACGATAACTTGAAATATCTCCTGATACCCCCCCCCCCTTTAAGCGGATGAGCACAGATTGTGCACACCAAGCTTGGAGAGAATACATTCTTGACTTTGGAATGAGAACGTTGCTGCACTGTTGGCTAGCTAACTTCCCTTCAAACTTCAAATGGTGAAGCTGCTGAATCTTCTAGCTAACTTCCCAAATATCTTCTGAAAAGTCGTTGCATCTGTGGCTAGCAGGCTGAAATCTTCTTCTTCTTCAATTGGTGATACCATTGTATCTTTGGCTAGTAGGCATCCCCTCTTCTTCTTCTTCTTCTTCTTCTTCTTCTTCTTCTTCTTCTTCTTCTTCTTCAACTCCTCAACCCCCAACTTCAGCTTTGTAGCTTCAGTTTCTCCAAATTAACTCGGATAAGCCGTTACATTGTTGGCTAGCTAGCTTTCCTGTATTCTTCTTCAACTCCTCAACCCCCAACTTCAGCTTTTTGAGCTTCAGTTTCTCCAGTTTTGATAGGTTATGCTGCTTCTTTTTCTTGGCTGGATAGCACTCCTTCAATTGAAAAACGCCGCTGCATTTTAGCTAGCTGGCCGAACATTCACATCTTCAGCTTTTTTTTTGCTTCGGATGGATCTTCAAAGTGGTAGAGATATGCTGCCGCTTTTTGTGCTGGATAGCATTCCATCCACAAATAGACTGAAATCAGCAGGGAGTGCATTGTTGGCTACTTCCCGCTGCTTCTCCAACATGACAAGAACATGTTGCTGCTTCTTTAGCTAGCAAGCATCTGATATATGGGCCAGATATGTTGCTGCTGATTTTAACATTCTATCCGAAAAAGAACAGAAATAAGCAAGGGAGTGCTGTTAGAATATGACTTGAATTTGATTTGGGTTTGTTTTATGTTTTAGGCCTATTCTGTTTGGGTTTGGGATTGAGTTTTGTTTTGACCTCTTCCTTGTATGTTTGGGAAAATGTATTTGGTTTTCTGTTTGGGATCAAGAGAAGAGTTCTATATATACTCTTCATCACCCTAGTCTGTAGTAAGGTTAATAAGGTTAGTTTGTTTGGTTTGTCCGTTTGGAATTTGGTTTGTAACCTGTACTCTCCTCAAAATCAGTGAAATTTGTTCTCCCTTGCCCGTGGATTATAGCTAGCACACATTGTGTTAGTGAACCACGTTAAATTTGTGTTCGTTCGTGTTGGTTTGAATTATCGATTGCACGCTTCTGTTCTGACAAGTGGTATCAGAGCCGTGGTAGATCTTTGGGTTATTTGAAACGGTTTTGGAAATTTTTTGGGATCGCGCTGCTGGTTGAGCTTGGCGTATTTGAAAGTATATTCGTCACCTCTGAACTGACGTTGCAGTTTGCGGATTTGTTTGTCTTTCCGGCTTCGATTTGGGTAAATATCTCCTGGACTTGAGAATTTCTGTTGGTGGCATCGCGATTTGTTTATATCTCTCGTCCTTGGAAGATTGGTCTCTAAATTGGATCTCAGAATTGGAACGCGTTGTCCTTTGTTGTTTGGGAAGCAGCTTGTATTTTGGAACAAATTAATTGTGCGCTCCTCAATTAGCTATGGAATTATTGAGTTGCTGCTCTACGTTGGCTTTTTTGTTTTGAAGCTGGAAAGTTTTTGGTGTTTACTAATTGCAATTGGGGCTGCAATTTTTGATTGGACGGCACATGGTAGCAATTTGGGAATTTGGAATTTGCGGCAGGGAGCTAGTTGGCAGATCAATTGGAATTTCGAAGCAATTACTTGAATTTATAGTGTTCGGTAATAGCTTGTGGTTTGGGGAGAATTCTGTTTGTTGTCCTTGGTGGTAATCAGGGTTTTCGATCACCAAGGATGTTTGTTATGGATTTGAAGATCGAGAAGTCAATTTGGAGTTAGCAGTAAATTTGTTGTTGATGTTATAGACGGAAATAACACCAAGTTGGTTATGCATGGCAAGTCCCAACATGGGTTGGACTTGCTGCATGTTTTGATTTGTTGACCGCCCTTAGGGGAATTTGGAGGCAGGGGAGATTCTGGTACAGCTGATTTGGAGGAGTTTGGTATGTCTGCCAATCTTGATTGCATCTAAGTTTGGCGATTTGCATCGCGTTTGAGTTTGGTGATTACGATCACATATGGTACATCTGGTATTTGACAGAGAATTCAAGTCAAGGTGAAGATTGTTAGAATATGACTTGAATTTGATTTGGGTTTGTATTGTGTTTTAGGCCTATTCTGTTTGGGTTTGGGATTGGGTTTTGTTTTTACCTCTTCCTTGTATGTTTGGGAAAAGGTATTTGGTTTTCTGTTTGGGATCAGGAGAAGAGTTCTATAAATACTCTTCATCACCCTAGTCTGTAGTAAGGTCAGTCAGGTTAGTTTGTTTGGTTTGTCCGTTTGGAATTTGGTTTGTAACCTGTACTCTCCTCAAAATCAGTGAAATTTGTTCTTCCTTGCCCGTGGATTATAGCTAGCACACATTGTGTTAGTGAACCACGTTAAATTTGTGTTTGTTCGTGTTGGTTTGAATTATCGATTGCACGCTTCTGTTCTGACAAGTGCATTATTGGCTACCTCCCTCTGCTTAGACTTTATGAAAAAGACTTTGAACACGCCAGGGTGTTCCCTCTGCTGCAAAACTTGACTGTTGCCTTTCTATCTTTTGCTGAAACAAGCACTTTTTTTTGTTGCTGCTGAAACTTGCAGCTTCTTCTTTGTGCTTCTTCTTACTGAGAATCAACAAGAAAAGTGAGACTCTTGTCTCATAACACTATTCCCAGATCCAAACCACAACAAAGAAACATTTGGACCTCTGATGGCTTCCTCCAAAGAATCAATGTTCACATTCTGTTCACTTCTCCCAATCACAAACACATGTTCACATGAAATCTGCCCAAACACAGCTTGAAAAGCTTCCATATGACGCACAGTAATGGACGAATGCAGTTCAGTCTCTTGTTCAAGACCCACAATATCGTTCTCTGTATTTTCAGTTTCAAGAAACTCACCTTCCTCTTTTGGGTATTGTCTTTTGACTGTGAAATACCTTTCATTGTGCTCTGTACGCATCCTCTGCCTCAAACTCTCGGAACCCACTGCTTGCTTGGTGAAATGACTGACTTTAGGGGAAAGAACAGCGAAGCCTAACTTCCTCCTGGTGGACTTAGTGACAGGCTTCAGCTGAAAGATGGAAAGCGAATGAGAAGACCAATCTGAACTAGATCCCTCCTTGTCTCCTTCATCTGCGTCTGACTCCGCTTGCGACTGTGCGTTAGCCACCTCTGAGCCTTTGTTGGCCATTTCGACGAAAAAGGTTGTTGAGGGAAAAGAAGTCTATACTCTCCCCCTAATTATCAAAGTTTAATGATATTTAAGATATTTTACCCTACAAAGTAGTTGCTATTACAAATTACAAAACCCGTAGAATACGACCTAGACAAAATTTAGAGCTTATATATTACTTTGCAAGAATACTACATCTCGATCCGCATCAACCTTTCCTCTTGCCAATCATTGCTGGACTGCACAAATGGATTCCTGCCCCAACCTACTACGTTGACGATTCCGCACCATTTAAGTATAGATATGTTTTTTTTTTTTTTGGCACTCATGTGTCATGCATATACCTATTGATCGGCTTAAACAACAACAGCCAAAAGAAGAAGAAAAAAAACAAGGAACTTTGGTGGACAAGTGGAGCCTCTGCTATAAATAAATGGCGGGGCACAAAACGGTGGTCCACATTGTAGTTTAATTTGACAATTGACCGGGCGGGCGGCTGGTTAGTGGTTATGCCTAATGGTTGCCTGTTGAGGCAGGGCCGGCAGGTTTCTTATTCAGCTAGCTGTTTCCCCTATATATATAAATTATAAACCTTCCGGCCGCTAGCTTTCTCTCTATTAGTCTTCACCAAGGAAGGAAGGAAGGAAGGAAGACAGGATCGTTGAAAATGCCACTCAGTACTGCTCGTTTCACCACTCTCAACATACTGTCCCGCCCCGCCGTCAATCATGTCTCCGCCGGTAAATCTCTTCCGCCACCGCGTTTATCACTGATATTCAATTTTTTCTCTTAATTACTCGAGTTATTGGGAGATTGATTGATGACAGGTGATGCCACAGCGGGAAGAAACTCACGCCCCAATCTCCTTCCGGAGGTGCAGCGAGAGATGATTAGGTGGAAGGAGGAAGGGCGAGTGGGGAAGATGAAGGAGATGCTGCGGAAGGAAGTAGTGGAGCTGTCGGTTTCGCCCTACGACACCGCCTGGGTCGCCATGGTCGGCCGAAACAACAACAACGATGGATCGCGACAGCAGCAGCTGCAGCCTCGTTTCCCGCAATGCCTGAGATGGGTGGCGGAGAACCAGCAACCGGACGGGTCGTGGGCTTCACATCCAGCTGGAGCTGATCCGCTTCTGGTGAAGGACTCTCTCTCCTCCACGCTCGCCTCCGTCCTCGCTCTTCGCAGCTGGGGCGTCGCCGACGAACTCGTCCACCGAGGTGTGCATACTAGTTTATTACGCTGGCTCGCTCGATCGCTTGATTTTTTATTATTATAATTATTATAACACCAACTATACGTTCCACATTTGTGTTTGTGTGTTGGAAGACTTATTCGTTTCATGCTATTTGGTTTACTACGATTTCCGGCCTCTCACCGCTTAACAGCTATTTGTTTTGGTTTTTAATAATTTCTAGGCACTTTTTTTTATGTGCATTCAATGCAACCCCTACAAGTAGTTTTAAGACATTGAATGTGAATTTCAATTGTTAGAATTAGTATAATACAATGATATAAAATAGGATCATAATTAATCAATTCATTTTCGTAACCCCTAAACTTTAAATTTTGAACAGTAATCATGAATCCCAAATAATAAACCACAAACCCTAAATCCCTAATCTCTAAAACCTTCAAATCAAAGTAAATCTTGAATTATATATGTACAAATCCACGTGTTTTCTCGTCCATCGTTTTAACATTAATCGCCTGCTCAGAATCACGATTACGAGACGAGTGCATTGAATAATGCACCAAACAAAGTGAATGCACCAAATGTTTTTTTTTCTTTCATTAAAAAGAATTATCTATGCTTGCCTTTTATAGTACTATAATAATTATTATACGTCATTAGCTATGTTGTAGTAGGTGCAAGCATCATGTACTAAAATGGAGTTAATTCATTGTGGTTAAGTTAAATAATAATTCTGTATCGCAAATTCACGTTCTTAATTAAGTAAAACCCCAATAATATATTACATTATATGATAAATTGCAGGGTTGGACTTCATACGATGTAACGCTTGGGCAGCCGCGGATAAGAAGCAGCGCACCCCGATTGGATTCGACATAATATTCCCAGGGATGATGGAATCTGCCGCCGCGCTGGGCCTCAACCTCCCATTCCACCCTTCTACCTTCCAGCCAATGCTTCAAAACCGAGACCTACTTCTTCAAAGGTAAAAACCCTCTATTATCTGATGCAAAACCCTCTATTATAGTAATTAGTTTTACATATAAATATTCAACCAGTAATTACATGATTAATTTTCTAAATCGATGGTTGATTGATTGGGAAATAAATAAATAAAAGCAGCGCGTGGGCATCCGGGAAGAGAGCCGATGTGGCATTTGCGGCTGAGGGATTGGCGACCACGACCAGATCTAACGGCGGCGGCCGATGGCGGGAAGTGCTGCGGCAGCACCAAAGAAAGAACGGCTCTTTGTTTAATTCACCTTCCGCAACAGCTGCGGCTCTTCTCCATCTCCACGATGATAAAAAATCCTTGGCCTATTTGGACTCCGTCCTCTCCGCCTACCACAACTCCCCAGCTGGTAACTTTTAGCGATTGTCTCTTTTTTAATAACGACTCATTGACTTTTTTTTTTGTTTACTTAATTAATACTGTTTTACTTTGTCTTTCTCCCTTTTGTTCATGTTTTGTTTTACTCATATGTATTATTCAACTTTGGTGGTTGCAGTGCCAGCCATTTTCCCACTGGACATATTCAGTCGGCTGTACATGGTGGATAACCTCGTTAAACTTGGGATACAACAATACTTCAGGCGAGAGATTACGCTCATTCTTGACCACGTATACAAGTAATTAATTCCCCTTTTCGCGCGCCAAAATCAGAATCTGGAATATGATGAATTAGAAATAAAAGAAAATCACAATAGATTTTGAAAATTGAATTTTGGGAGCAAGTTATATATATATATGGTAGCTACTTCGGCACACTCACTTTTTTTAGTGCACCCAACTCTAAAAGTGTCCATAATACACCAAATTAGTACTCTCAATCTAATGTGATGATATGACTTAGAATCATAACAAATCAATCTATTACCTTAACCCCTTAACCTTCAATTTTGAATCACAACCCAAAATCCCAAATTGTAAACCTAAACCATAACCCTAAATCCCTAAATCCTTCAAATTACAGTAAATTTTGACTGATTTTTTTCCCTCCAAATTAATGTGCTTCTTGTTCATAATATCATAAGCAACAATTGATACGATTTTGACATGAATCGCATGCTCAGAATAACAATTATGAGGCGGTCGGTGCACTTAGTGCACCAAAAAAAGTGGGTGCACCGAATACGCCACCATATATATATTTACTTATTAAAAAAAACTCCTACGCTGTCACTCACTATAACTAATATATACCAATATATAAACAATTAGCATTATTTTGAGACTACAAATGCACTAACCATTTCTTTTCTCCCTTTTTTTTGGCATGGATCAGATATTGGATCCAGAGGGACGAGGAATTGTTCTCCGATATCGGTTGTCTGGCAAAGGGTTTCCGGCTCCTGCGTCTAAATGGATACCATGTCTCCTCCGGTAATAATATAATTAAGTCACCATATTAATTAGGATTAATAATGAATACCAAATTTCAGGCTGATTAAGATTTGTTAATTAACTAATTAATTAACAAGTGTTCTCCTGTTAATTTGGATGTGTTCAGAGGTATTCGAAGGACTTGACAGGAAAGAAGATTACTTCAAGAGCGTTCTCACTCCGTACAAAAGCAACGACACAATCTTGGAGCTGTACAAAGCTTCACTCACCACACTTCTCCCAAGCGAACCCATTCTCGACGGAATCAAGGATTGGACGAGCTCTTACCTCCGACAAACTTCATTATCGCCCAAAGAGTCGGACCAGGACCAGAGGTTGGCCCAAGAGGTGAGATATATTAGCTAGAGACACATCAAACATGATCATAATTAATTAGTTATAGCCATTGCTCATTTTCACTCAGTATTATAAATTAGGAAATGATTTAATACAATAAATATATACATAAAAGATCTAATTGGTAAATTGGTCATTAATTCAATTTCAAATATTGTTGTTGAGTAAAATCATAGAAAAAAACATCGTACAAACAAATATTCATGTTGCGGGGGGGTATTCATTAAATCAGGTGGAGTATGCATTGAGGTTCCCATATGCAAGTTTGGAACGGATCGAAAATAGGCTGAGCATAGAGACAGCTGAAGTGTACAACCACGTCAAACTTCTCAAAACCTCGTACAGGTAATTATCTATTATCCACAATGTGGACAACGAAAAGAAACTTCTTAAAACATCTGTGGTGAAACTAAGGGCCTGTTTACTTTCATTTCTGTTTCCTGTTTTTGAGAAAACAGATGTTGAAAACAGGTGAAAATAACATTTTGTCGTTTCCGAAAACAACAGGAAGTTGCCACTTTCTGTTTTCATAGTTGGAAACGAATAGAAAACAGAATGAAAAGTAAACAAGTTTTCTCATTTCGGTTGCCAAATTTATCACATGAAAACAGAAAACTGGAAACGAAAATGAAAGTGAACAAGGCCTAAGCAAACTAAATTATGAGATGACATCATCGATTAGTGACACACTTATGATCACTTTCATTTACCAAACCGCCCATGGAAACAAATCTAATATGGAAAAATATTGACTCACCTATCCTACCATCTAGGGGTGGCAGTGGGTGGGTTTCAGTCTAACCGAAAACCCGGTTATCGGTTAAACAGAGTCACCCCCTATAGATGCCGACCACTGACCGTGAGAGAGGTCACGGTTAGCCGGCAAACCGACCGGTCGGTTTCGGTTTTAGGCTCGGTTAGCCGACCAACCGGAAAACTACCTTTTCTAAAAAACAAAAAATATTAAGAAAACAAAAATTCTGCACCACTCATCTCAAATCTTATCTCCTCCTCTCTCCTTCCTTCCTCCACCAGACCACTTCTCTTCTCTCTCCTTCCTTCCTCCACCATTTCACACCCACCAAACCTTATCTCCTCCTCTCACATTCTTCCTCTCACCAAACCACTTCTTCTCTCACCTTCTTTCTCTTCGCCGATCCTCCATGACGTCGACTGCACGCAGGTCGTGGCCGCCGAGAACGTAGCTATGAGGT